AAATTTATGTTGGGAATTTTTTTTTTTTTTTTTTTTTTTAAATATTTACTTATTGGATTGCCTGTTTCAAAAGGCAGTCCCTTTCGCAGTAATGCCCTCACCTTAGATAACTTTTTAAAAAGAAAATATTCATGCATGGGTGAGTTTGGCATACGGAGACTTATTTTAAATAATGGTTTGATTTATTTCTGAGAGATTGCTTTTTCCCCTTTAGCATGCCTCTTCAGATGTAGAAAGAATGATCCTCGGTAATAAATGTGATATGAATGAAAAAAGACAAGTCTCAAAAGAAAAAGGGGAGAAGGTAAACTTTTTATGTTGTCTAGAAGCCTATTTTCCTTCTCAGGATTCTGGATATTATATAGTTGATTTGTTTTAGGTATATGAGAGAGAATGGGCCTCAAACCTCATGTTTCAGGACTTTATAGGATGTCTTTTTTTTTAAATAGCACTTGATTGTCTTCAAGTTTGTCTAATTTCAAGTTACTGTTGTCTTGAGGGAGAGATCCTCTAAAGAATGTTGATCCTCCTTGTAACATCAAGTATTATAAATCTCAATATAAAGCTTTGTATATAATTTGATCCTATTGCATACAATTCATCATGGTGATTACTGACACTTCTTATAAGTAGCATTATTAAAGCTAAAGTAACTTGTTGTTCTGCAATACTAACAAGCAAGTAAGAATACTACACAATATATCACACAGCGGAAGAAGTGTAGCTGCTAGTTACACAACTTACGGGATGGTTTTATGTAGCTATCCTGTCAACAAATCCAAATTGGTGAAGATTCTGTCTTTATGTTCTTTTGGGTCCTAAATAAGTCATTCTGTGAGCAATTAATGTTTTTGGGAGTTTTGAATTTACATGAGGATTTGGCCTGTTGGAATATTTTGTCTAATGGTCCAGTAACGTAACGTTTTTGTGAGAGAAAGCAGACATGAAGCTTTTTCGTCTTTTTAAAGCATCATAGAGTGCCTGTTCTGTTATGAACCTTTGTAAACACACCTTTTGCAAAGGAACTTTTAAATACACTGAAAAACTTTAACCTCTCTTCCAGTTAGCAATTGATTACGGAATCAAATTTTTGGAGACAAGTGCAAAATCCAGCATAAACGTGGAAGAGGTAAGAGATGGATGTTACACTTAGGTATGTTTCTTGAAGTACTGCTGTGGAAGCATGCTGTATGATCTGTAACTGCTGGACTTTCTGACCTGATCTGAAACTTGAAGTGACAACTCCAATCTTGTTCTATTTAGATAGGTTGTACAATAGCTATCATGGCTTGTTTTCTGGTAATGTCTAGAATACTTTTTAGATGGGTGCTAAGAGTGGTTTGCTATTCCTGTAGCAAATAGTTTCTTTAGACTTCTTTTGTCTTGCTGCTTAAATTACCAGTGCTTTTAGACAAGGAGTAGGTGTAACGTTAGCAGGAAACTGGGTTCAAGATTCTCTGCTTGATGAGTAGCATGCTACTATGTCAAAGAGACTTCAGGTTACTACTAAACGTGTCTGGGCAGATGAGACTTTCAGATTTGCATTTTAAACTGCAACATCAGCGTAGACTGTCATTAAGTTGATGTCAGAGGAGGAAGAAAGCTTATAATACTGTCTGTAGACTTGCAATCTGTTTTCTTGCAAATAAACCTTGTGCAAAAAACACCAGACCCTTTTTGTGAGAGCGTAAAGAAATGGAATCGGAAGGAAGAGTGACTCAACTTTAGTCTATTTTACCATGAATCACTATTGTAGTCTTACAGAGGATGGGGGAAGGACGTTAACTCTGTGAAAAAGATGGACAGTAAAACATGACATCAGAAGGCGGTTACCTTAAGAAGCCCTCAAAAGGGTTGAAGAGTGAGCTGGTTCAAAATCTTGTGGGTGTACTAAATCACACACAGGTCTTAATCTCAGAAATATATGTCGTAATAGTTTCAAGGCCGAGGTTAAACAGTGCAGTAATGCAGTTCAGTTCATTCACATAGGTCAGATTTGTTCTTAAATGGTGTTTTCCTGAGGCTAATGGTCTAAAAGCCTTTCCAAGTGTATTGTTGCGATACCTTTTAGAAGTCCTCCAAATATATACTGAATTCAGATTGTGCAGCTAAAATATTAACTAGAAACAAAAGAAATTGCTACTGTAAAGTAGCATGACTGATACTGTGCCCGCTAAACTGGCACATAGCCTTTTATCTGATTGCGGGAAGGTTGTGATACAATAGTTGGTTCATAGTTAGGATGAATGTGAATTGTGCTACATCTACAGTAGTGTTTGACCTAGTTTTCACAGTATCACTAATTCTTACAGCAGGCAGTAGAAGAGTGAACATTAGCAACTGATACCAATGGTGGATAGCAATAGGCTCCCAATAAAAAGTGCATATCCTTTTCATTGGTTCCTCCATATGATTGACTTGGTGCCTCATGACATGCCCTACAGTTTTGTTGCAACTCCTGTAGGTCATTAAATGCACAAAACTAATTTGTGCCTACTCAAAAACATTTGACTGTCTGAATATTTAAAAAAAACTGTCACATGAATTGGGAAGAAAGCATAGAAAGAATGCAGCTGGTGTGAAAAAGATGGGCAGTAAAACATGATATCAGAAGGCAGTTACCTTAAGAAGCCCTCAAAAGGGTTGAAGTGTGAGCTGGTTCAAAATCTTGTGAATGTATTAAATCACACATGAGATCTTACTCTTAGAAATATATGTCATGATAGTTTTAAGGCTATTTAAGGCTACTCCATCAGTAATGATTTAATCTTATTTCCACCAAATGTTTAACTTGGGAGGACTAAAACAATTGTGTATGTTTTTGTGTGTGTGGTTTTTTTTTCCCCCTTTGGATATATTCAAAATGCAGTGAGGGGGAAAATGCTTACCATTTTTCCATTCTGGAATTGTCCTTCAGGTATTGGTATCTTCAGATTTATCCCTAAAATCTTGTTTCTTCTTGCTTCTAGAGAACTGCAGCAATTTCGTGCTACAGAAATTTCTCTGCTTCTTTGTGCTGTGAAGTTGGAGATGATGAAATTTGCCAAAATGATTTTAAAATTGTTAGAAGCATACACAGAGTTGTGGTTAGCCCAAGTGCAAAGGTTTTGGAGGACAGCAGGAAAGAGCTGACTTTGAGATTTCCCAGACATACCAGCCTCAAAGGTCTCTGTAGGTTTCTAGTTGCAAGGCGCAATACATAGTTTAGAAAAAATATGCAAACATATGCTGCATATTTGAATCCCAGTGCTGTGTAAACAGCCTTCCGTTCATTCTTGTTCAAGAGCTATGCGATGGGAAAGGCTGTTCACTTGCTTCAAAATTTGGAGACAGGGAGACTAAACAGGATTTTATTTTTTTTTTTAAAGCATGCTTATTGCAGCGTAAGTTAGTTTTGTACACAGAGTGCCTTACAACTTGAAGTGCTAGCAGTGGCCTACAGAATACTGCATTGTTAATGTGTCTGACTACTCCAAATCTATCTTGTCTCTAATATGTCTTATGACTCTTTTTTTTTTTTCCCCTCTCTCTCTCTCTCTCCCCCCTCTTGCCAGGCATTTTTCACACTTGCACGGGACATTATGACAAAGCTCAACAGAAAAATGGTTTGTATTTCCAGTTGGCATACTATCTATAGTCATTGAAATTACCAGTTAGAAGAACTAGCTTGTGGGGTTACAGTGGCTGCTAGTTTAAATTTGAGTGAACATTTAATCATCTAAATGATTTAATCTGCTAAAAATGTTAATTGCGTACTGGACTTCACTAGAAGAGACTGGGTCCTCAGCGCAAAGGAAGTTTTTACCTCCCTGTACTTGCTGTTGCTGGAATACTGCATCCAGTTTTGAGCATCTTGAGCCAGGAAGGATGTTGATTGAGGATGATCTGGGGAGGGTCCAGCAGAGAGCTATTAGATGGGCCTAGAGCAAAAGAGCTGTAGCTAAGCCACAAATTGCTGCTTGGGAGGTTTTGGGCTGGGTGTGGGCAGTGGGAGGCAAAACTCAGCTAGCCAGAGCTATAGCTGACTTGATCTTGTGTTAGTGATAGCCCTGCTTTGACTGAGGGGTTGAACTATATGATCTACAGAGGCTTTTCCAGCGTTTCTGTGATTCTGTGACGTGGTTCATCTGTTTTTAATTCGTAATATAACCTGTAGCTTTGATTTAATGAAGCCATTTTTAAGCGTGTATGGTTCCAGATCTGGGAAGCATTGCTGCTCTTACAGTTGTTTGCTAGCTTTAAATGAGGTTTGGAGACTATGCCTTCGTTTACTTTAAAGTATTTTTTTTGTAGAAGAGGCAGCAAAATGCAGTTGGTGCCAAATGTGGTTGTTCATTTCTTAAGCACTCTTGCAAACATTTGGCCAGACTGATTGACTGACACAATCATGGAAGTTGCCATTACTAGTGAACAAGAATTTAGTGATGCAAATCTTGTTAGGCAAATGGGTTTGCCACTAAAAGAACCTTCAGAAAACCAGCAGATTTTGTGGTTGGGCCACTCAAGTGGAGTGGAGGCTAGAACTCACCTCTGCTTTTAATCAGATCTTAAGCAGATGAGTGTATACCTGTTTGCTACTTAAAAGTGGATGCTTTCATACAAACACACGTCAGTGTGTAATTTTCCTTTATTTTGCGATCACTAAATGCAGTGCAACCTGAAATCAGTGTGTTTTTTTCAAACTGTGACAGCGTGATCCTTGCTTTATTAAACTCCAGATTGTGCAGTCGCTCCTTGAGTGAATTCTTGAGATTTGGGTTGTTGGATAAGTTCTTTTAAAAGTAGGCAGTTTTATCAAGTGATTAACAGAGTCTGGATAATTGAGGGGCTCAGGTTAGAGCAAATCACCCCGGTTATTGATTTGCAGGGGAGAGGATGTGGAGGGAAATTAGAAAAGCTATTTTTTTCTGCATTTTGTGATGTTGCTGTTCTTTTCTTTTTCAGAATGACAACAGTTCATCAGGGGCAGGTGGGCCAGTAAAAATAACAGAAAATCGATCTAAGAAGAGCAGCTTCTTTCGATGCACGCTACTTTGATGAACTTCTAATGATAGACTGCAGCACACTTAGAACCTTTTCTGCTTCTTTGAAAGCACAGGGTCACAAAGCCTCAGAAATAATACCACCAAGCTGCTGCTGAGAGCTCCATTGAACGTAGACTGCGATACACAAAATACCAAGTGGATTTTGCTCACTAAGCCTATTGACCTGTCAGGCTCCTCTTTCTCAGATATGGAAGCTATGAAGTGGAGACACAAATGCAAGAGTTAACTTGTTTTCCTTTTTTACTTTCTGTTTTATTGCCTGTTGCAAAAGCTGCTATGTTTCTTTTAACTTTGCACATCCATATTAGCCTCTTACTGCCTGTTACAGCACAATCTTACATTTGTATTTGCACAGTTTGACTTGTAAGAAAGATTCTTAACAGATTTGTGCAGGATTTTCTTTCTTTAACAATTTTTTTTATTTTAAAGCAGAAGAGCCAGGGAACAGATTAAGTCTTACTTCCACTAGTTTCTTTGCTGTATACATGTGGCCATGACTGCAGTATGGATGTTGATACTCTAGTGATGAGTATTATGATAACAATTGGCATTTAATAATTAGTTTCTTTTCTTAGATGCACAAATCTGTTTATGCAGAAGCTGTGGCTTCTATTCTGAATGTAGTATGTTGCTTTTCTTTCTTTACCGACTTAGCAAAGTTGTGATCTGAATTGCCAGTCACTGTCTGATTCACAGATGCACCTTTCAGTTCTTTGAATAAACACAGTGTCTTTCCTCACTTAACTTCCCTTTGTTAGCTCAAACTGTCTGCACGTTTTTTTGTTTCTGATGAGGAAGTACACTCTGGAGTACTCAAAACTGTCATCACAAATTGGCCTCATCGCTATCACTGAAGTGGCTTGTGGAAGTTGAATGCATGAGTTTTGAGTAACCTCTTTGTGGATTCGTTTGTTCAGAAATAACTGCTTCTAAGGGTGACTTCCATTTCTACTCTAATTCTAAGGATAGTCCGTTAACGTCTGCAAGCATCGACCCATGGCAACAGAGGCATACAAAAACTAGCTTCCTGTGCAGTTGCTAAAATATCTCAAGTTCTGCCACTAAGGAAGTGGTCACACTGGGGCTATAATATGTTTGTTCTGCCCTTGATGTTGAGTTTGTGAAGCCCTCTTGGGTCTGCTCAAGCAGTTGCATTGTTTTATCATCAATAGCTGGTAGGGTGACCTGGTCTGTTAGAAGCAGAATTTAAACTTAGTTGCCTTTTTACTCAATTGAGCATTGTATAACCTAATCTTTGTTTTACCATTTTAATGTGTTCTGAAAAATTTCCTGAGTAATTCAAACAGGTGCTTTAGTTTCTGTTGATGTGCCAAACTTGGACCATTGTAAGCTTTACCTACAGGTTTGTATCCGGCTTGTTTGTTAGGGGGTAGGTGGATTCTGTCATTGTCAAAGTAAGGTGCCTCACGTGCTTGCTTTTGCTCCACTACGTTGTATGGAGTGGCAATCAGTGAGTTGGCTGTTAACCATAGAGCATCTCTGCTTCAGTTTGCGGCCCTGGGTACTGACTTTGCCATCCCTGGGTCTGCTGTAAATTTTTTGAAAGAGAATGGGCCAATAGCATTACATTTAAAGACTTTTGTTTTGAAAAGCTTTAGTAGTAGCTGTTTCCATAAAGTTCTATCAACCTGTCCCCACACGTAGTTTAATTGAAGTGGTTGTTGTAACTAGATCGTGAATCTCGCAACTTGCTGTTGCTGTGCTACATACAAAAAATACAAAAATCTTCATGGCAACAAGATTTAGTGGAAAAACAAAGCAACCCTAACTGCTCTGTTGTCTACCCTTGATGTTGTTCTTGGACAGGCTAAAGCACTTATGTGTTCTGTATGGTTAAAAAAAAGTGCTTTCTATACAGAAAGTGTTGTGACACCAATTATGAATGTTGTTTATTTTCAGTAATTTACCTCTGACTTATTTGGTGTCGTAATACTTTGATTTTTATCTCAGGGGTTGTCTGCAAACCAAAACTGACATGTTCTGCGTTTGGCAAAGTTTACAGAATGCTTTGTATTGTTTTTCCTGTCCTCTCTGTGTAGCTAAATATACATTCAATATTAGTCTCCAAGAACTTCCCTTTGAAAGAGCCTGTAACAGAGTAGCAGAGTCTATGAAGTGCTTCTTGAAGCAGCAGCGAATGGGGGTATCTGCTCTGTATTTAAAACAAACAAACAAAAAAAACTTGCTATTTTCTTACATTTAGCTATGCTAAACTGTACATAAATGTGAGGTAAGACCATAGGAAATTCACTTTATGCATGATGAAAATAACGCAGTCAGTATTTCCCCTTACTTAATGTTCATGTAAAGTTAATCTTTTTCTATTTGTAGAAGAATTTAGTGCAATTTTGTTGTCCCCTGCTGAAACTGAAGAAATCTAATTTCATGTGGTCTTATGGATAAGGTAAAATGCAGATTTCTTTCTCTCTTTCTGTTTCTTTCGTGCTCGCTCTCTCCCTCGTTTCGTTTTGCTCCCACCCATGTTCTCCAGCAGTATTAAACGGCTGAGTGGCTGCACTTTACCAGTGTGCTAATTTTTGGTCAGTATAGACCTCTTTCTGTGTATAGTCTGGATTGTCCGGCATTGAAAAATGTGCTGTATCTTAGTGTGCAAATCAATTGGATGTTGTACTGGGAACTTATTTTAGCTATATTTCGCTTTAGGCAAGCGGAAGATGATAAATGATATGTTCTGCCTAGGCATCAGATACGGGGTACTACAGGCTTTTCTGATATCAGTATGATTGTTCTGTGCAGTCTTTGTTGCAACTTTGCTCAAGACTATATTATCTGAACTTTGAAGGACTCTTAACTATACCTCAGTCAACTAGCTACTACTCTCATGTCCATTAGAATGAAAGTCATGCAATTATTATTCATCAAGCAGCAAACGTAATTGCAGTTATTATTCATTAAGCAGCAAATGTATTTGTCTTGCTCCAAAAATTGTCATCAACCTTTTAGGACAGGCAGACACTTTTGTGGATTTTGATAAAACAAAGCTGTTGTTTATGCTGTTTTTTTTTTTTTTAAATGAAACCTTTCCCTTTGCCCCATGTCCGTGCAATGTATCTTGACCAAGTTTTTTTTCCTAAATGGTTTAAAAAAGAAAAGAAAAGAAAAAACAAAAAATGGTCTCAGTGCTTCTCTACTTTAGCTTTCTGTGCTCAGCAAAACATGCACAAAGTGTTTTTGTTGAGTAGATAGGGAATATTTGATTTAGTTATTAATTGTCCTGAAGTTCTATTATTGTGCTATCGTTAAAACTTAAACCACTCATGAAACCTAACACAGCTCACTTTTTAGGGGTGGGAGAGGGTTGTTTTAAAAAAAAATGCTAATTGATTTTTTTCAGACATACAACCGTCCCATCATAAGTATGTTTCCCCTGATGATCTGCTAAAGTGAAGTGAATCAAGTCAATTGTTTCTGCAATTAAAAAAGGAGTATTGAATGCACATATTGCATTAAAAATTGTGAATGGATAATGATTTGAGAGCTGCGTGAATAATATGTAAAATGCATAAATGCGTTATTTGTGAAAATGCATCTGTTATCTGTTTATATATTAATGTAACTGAAATTTTGCAAAGTTAAACTTACTAAAGGTTAAGCCTGTGGATGACAGGTCCTCTTTTCCTCCGTTCACTGAACTGCTTGTGCCACTCTTGTTCTTCTAAATACGCTCTTGTTCTTCGAAATAAAACTTGTATTTCTCCCTGCCACAAAAGCAGGATTTCCATTAATTTTTTTTTCCAGTGAATTTAAATATTTTAGTGTATTCCTATGGCCTTACAAACATTTTTTTCAAATAAAACTTCAATTACAATTATTTTAATGTTATATAGCTACTAAATTCAGACTAAAAAGTATAGCCCTTGAAAAAATACTTAATTTTGAAATAGGATTGTTTTACCATGTGTGTGTTTAAGCACATTTTATCTCTGCTCTAAAGCTGTAATATGAAAAGCTCCTGCAGATAAAGTGAACTGGTTATGTCGTTAACTTGTAAACCTAATCATTACTTGTGTTTTGATATGTATAGACAAAAAAAAATTGCAGACTCCCCCAAAACAACAAACCCCAGTGGTTTTATTATTCCATGCAAACTTTTTTACAACAATGTGTCTCAAATAAAAGTTACATAACGAAAAATATTTGGAGTATTTTGTATGAAATATTCCACGTAGTTCTTACACAGTTAGTGTTTCCAGTACATCTGCTGCGGAAAGGGGTCCAGCTGAATAGCATCAGTAAAGCTTTGCTTAACCTCAGTGGCAAGTCACAGGGTTGGTTTTTTTTTTTTTAATGTTTTTGCTTATTCCTAAACTTAACTGTTCTTCAGATTTCTCCTGAAATATCCTGTACTCCTACAGTGATTACTTAGCCTAGAAATGAGGTGTAAGTATATTATTCAGATGACCTTAGGCTTTGTAAAGATAAAGTGAGACGCAATCGCCGCTTTGTCTAAGAATTATCTAGTCACTTAAGTTGTTAACCCTGATTTAAAAAAAAAAAAAAAAAAGTGTGTGAAGGGTAAGATCTTATGACTTTCTCAGATCTTATGACTTTCAAGTAACCTGAGGCACGAGTACCATGGACTAATACCACAAATATTGTTTGCCCAGCCTCCTTCCGCTCTGAGGGATTTGACAGAAATCTGTGTTGGCAATTACATTTACAGCAGTTCTTGATTTGGAAATTAGTGCGGTTTGGCAATAACTCAAATTGGTGTAAAAATTTAGAGAAAATTAGAGAAATAATGGTTTGGCCTACTCGAGGCCAAAGCAGCTTGATGGCTGCAAGACCCAAACGGACGCTCTGAGGAATACACAGGATGCGGCACGGGTAACAAACAGCTTCCAAAATGTTTGCTTTTCACGTTTTTCTCTAGTAAACCGTATTTAACTGAAAGGATATGTAGTCTCTTTACCGTCACGAAGAGCAAGCTAGAGCTACGTTCTTGTTCTCTAACACCTGGGTGTTGGTTTCTGGTTTTGCTGTTTTTCAGATTGCTGCTTCAGGACTGTTTAACCTGCAGGTCCTTGTGATCTGAACTGGTTTTAGATGCTCAGCAGTCCTAAAAGCAGAATCCTTAAATTCGGTTCTCAAAGAAGTTAGCGGCATGCGTCTGCACCAATGTCTAAATGATATTTATATCTCTCATGTGTCGAAGTAGCAGGACTACTTAGAGTGCTAAAAATGATGATTTATTAAAGTTCCTTGATCTTTTTTTCGGTGCAGACAAGGTGTTACCATAAGCACATTTGTAGACTAGAAGCAAATTGTTACTCATGTGTAGAACCTATCCTGCTTTTATAACCGGGTAATTTGCCTTTTTCTATGAAATTCCTTTCCTTGTCCAGCTTAGTTGACTAGTGTTTTTTAAAAGGCTTCTTGAGCTATGCCAAGGTCACTAATATCACATAAGATTTCAAAATAATCTATCTTTAGAAACAACTCTAATCTTCAAGAGATACATAAACGAAGTTTTTACAAGTTTCGTTGCTTAATGTTCTTGCCATCTAGAGGTCTGAAGAAAGGGCAGGGAAGGCAAAATGTTCCCGTATGCTGAAGAGACATTTCTCAGTGTTCTGGGATGCTGCACAGTGTTTTACTTTTTTTTAACGCTATCTTCAGCAGAGCACATCAGCATTAAGCTTCTGGTATGATCAAATGTTACCTAAATTCCTATGAGTACGAGTTTGGTAAATAATTATTGTTCTTTCAGTCTGCGAAACGAAACCGTAACTTTTAAGTGGGATGTAATTGTTTCGGTCACCCGAGGAAGTGGCGTCCGCGGGACGGACGGCGGGAGGCACGCGTAGCTTGGCGGCTCCGCTTTCCGGCTCGGTTTGACGCCGCCGCAGCGCGGAGGCGAGCACGCCGCTGTGAGCGGCCCTTGCC